CCCCCGCAGGATGAAACGAGAACAAGGGTTTTTAAAAGGAGTGGAACTGCAGGCTTTGTGTTTCGGTTGAGGGTTTAATTAATTTTGGGTGAGAAGGTGCGCAGACACGTTCAAACAAAGAGTTCTGTTTGTTGTAAAAACACGTCTCTGTTGTTCCGCAGCAGCTGAATCGATTTATTTTTTTTGTCTAAGTGGTGACTGAGAGGCGTTTGTTGCGTCCTGCCTGTGGTAACGGGGAGTTGTGTACATGTAGCAGAACACAGCACCAGGTGAAGTGTTTGGGTTTGTTAGGACCCTCCCCCTCACAGATGTGTTCTTGGCTCCGGCCCTCGGCGCCTTCAGGACGACGGGGACTCATCCCTGACAGCTCCCAACCACCAGCTGCTCTTCCTGCGTGTGCAGATAATTACGCCTCAACTTTTGAACCCGGCTCACGGAGCGGGAACCGTCGGCGTTTTATCGATGCGAGAACAACGAGTCGGAATGATGATTGAATGTTTGCACACAAACCTTAACCGTTRGTTCACAGCAATTCGCTCGATCTGCCAGACCCAAACAAGATAACACGGATTCTAAGAAAGGTCCAAAGCAGCGGTGAGCCAACAGGTGAGAACATTTAATTATGTTCTGTTTTAGTGTGTTACGATGGTTATTTTAAACCTATTCTTATATTTTATCTTATTTAAGATACCAAGGCTTGATATTGTGGCCCTGCAGAACCATTTGTATCCTTATTCTGACATATCCTTTTTGGAGAAACAAACAAAAAGGCAGTTTAATTATAGTTACTGTTAGTCTGCATCATGCTATATTTATGTACTTTTTTATGCTACTTTTTCAGTCTGATTTCTTTCTTGTTTGACTGAATAGGTGGTGATCATCAGAGGCTGTCTTCTTCCATTGTCACAGTGCTGAATAAAATCTTTTAATAAAGTGTCTGTCGACATGTTTTCATTTGATTCCTGCCTCCAGCACACGTCTCAGATTGTTGCTACGCCTCTGCCAAAAGCATCATCACTGATTATCTTCTGTCCCAAACTTAAAGGCTTGTCAGCAGAGTAAATACAGCGAGGTATATGAGATCTAGATGAGCTCTGCAGCAGATGGTGGGCTGTCAAAAACAGAGAGGGGTGTGTGTGTGTGGAGGGGGGGCAGTCCTGAAGAGACGACAAACAAAGCAAACAGGCTGCAGTCTGGGAGAGGCTTACCTTTACAGTCCCTGACTGCTCCTGTTTCTGTTATTAGAGTCAGTCCTTCTAAATAAAACTGCTGTCTAGGAGTAAAACACTTGAGATTATTTTATAAAATCTAAAGATTTTAAAAATGTTTAACAGAAGTTTTAATTGTTAAAGGAAATCAGAGTCAACATAAATGTTTGCAATTAAGTTAATTATGTCTAAACTTTCAAGGTCTTGGTTTTCCCACATTTAATAAGCTGAGAAGTACCTTTTTTCTTGTTTTTTAAGTTTTTAAACACTTGATGTTTCTAATCATACGCAGCAGAAACGAGGAGAAAGAGAAGTTTGATCAGTTTTAAAGGTAGAAGGTTGAACGTTCAGCTTTAGAAAACACCTGTGGAGTTTAGATTCATCCAAAGTCGACTCCTCCAGGAAACCAAACCAGCAAAAATCAGTGAAATTAGTGATGTGTGGATTAATACTCTGAGATCTGTACAAGTACTTGAAATAACTAAGTCAAATAACATGAACATAAAATGACTTTGGTAAAAAATAAATGTCACTGATGAGAAAACTACTCAAGTAAAAGTCATAAAACTGTTAACAAAAATTGGGAAAGTAAAAGTATTTTTACACACACTCTATGTAATAAACTTAAATTTACTGAACCAAACTGGTTCCACTAAGTCAGGTTGAGTAAATTGAGCAATATATTTATATTCTTTGCTCAATTTACTCGACTAGGCTTTGTGGAGCCAGTTGACATGACTTGGTTGAGTAAATGCAACATTTAGAGTGTGTAAATATCTTTGATGAGTTTAATTTTGTAACAAGTTAAGTTTGTAACAAGGTGTTACATTTTAAAGTGAAGTAGTAAAAGTATCACTTTTAGCTTTAAAATGTACCAAAATACAAGTAAAAGTAGCTGTTTAAAAAAATAACTGGTAAAATTACAAATCCTCAAAAGAAAACTACTTAAGTACTGTAACTGTAAGTAAATGTACTTAGTTTCTATAAACCTCTGTCAATACTGAAATATCAGTACCACCGGTACCCGAACTTTGTGCTCTAGAATCGATACTAAAATCACGATATCGATACTTTGATACTTCAGTCATTTCAGTTAGCGTATATCATTAACAGAAAAACAGTGGAAAACTAGACATGGGTTTTTATGATGTAAAAACAAGTGTGCATTGCCATGTAGCATGTCATTGCAGCATGGCTTTGCCTGCAGCATTGGACTTGCAGAATGAACTTTGACCAAGTTCAAATGTGTTTTCTATATCAGCTTGTGCCTGCCACGTCAGCAGGTGTTCAGAATTAAGGTAATGTGTGACAATATGAAATTTGAAGAGATTTTTTGTTGAAGTTGCATTAACTGGGTTTTGAACCCTGATCTCTCACATGCAAGTCCATGACATAGACTATTAGACCAGTGGAGCTGTGATTGAAGATGGTGGCAGGGGCTGGTTTGTATGTGTGCAGAAAGAGGCCACATTGCCAATACAATTATTGACACAAAAATGCATAATATTACAACAATCGAGCAGTATTAAGACAATATTATAGTAAAACATCAAAATAAAATCATATTAGTATTGTAAACACTGAACTACTGAGTTGAATTATTAAACTATGGTGCAGTACCAAGTTCAGTACAGCATGGGGCAGTATTGGACCAATACAAGGCTCCATTGACTGCCATTATAATTCATTAAACATTAATATTTCATAAACTATAAGTTTTACAGGCACCAAAAGGCATAGCCATCATTTGGCACAGGAGCTTTACAGATATAAATTACAATGGCAGCTCTAGGACAAAGTTTGCAGGAGGAGAAGCATGGCAAAGTTGAGATGTCTTGGATGGGAAACGAATCACAATAGTGTGCATTGCCAATGCAATGCACACTGATAAATAAACTATTGAAATCTTGTCATACACGGTTAGAGGGAACTACTTTTTCTTCCACTGATAAGTGCAGTGGCACATGCTCAGTCTGTAGACATCACATGGCAGGTCATTTTAACATAAAATCAGCTTCGTCTGACTGTGTTAGGGATAGAAAACGCTAATATTTTAGATTTACCAGACACAAGATGTGTTTGTGCAAAGCGTCGGATCAGTATTGCTGATACCAGCCTGAGTTTTACTTMGTATCAGAAAGTAAATCGACAGTATCGAACATCAGTGAAAATACCTACATTTTAAGAGACAAAAAAGCGTTTGTGTCCTTTCTTCAACAAACCCTTTTGTTCACCATGATGCAGATGTCTTGAGTAAAACAGATGTTTTTTGTAACTTTTAGTTTCTGAATTCTCCTCTCCAACTGTGGCGGAGACCCCGGCACAATTCTCTATCAATCACACGTGCTCATCTGCTTCAACCTGCAGCTCATACCTCAACGCCAGCATGAGGGAGGAGTTCCCATCTGTGCCCTACTTTGCCCGCCATCTCACCGATGACAAATGTGGCCCCTGCAGTGGAAATATTGAGAGTTAGCAGGATATTTATCAGGTAGCATTTGAGCAATATGAAAGATAACCTTTTGTAAGTGGACACAGATAAAGATGTATGCTCTGCCTTTGCTTTGCACAGGCTTCATTTCACTCAAACGCTGCAGAGTACCCAGGAGTAATATGATGATTTGTTCCATATATGGGGTCCAACCAGGTGTGCAGTCTGTTTGCTAGATTTACTTTAGCTCTTTTGACTGGCTCGATGTGTTTAYTTGGTGACAAAGCATTGCAGGCTGAAGATCAGTTTTTGTTTTGTACAAACTGAGCAACATGTTTACCTAAAATTGTGTCAAAGCTGTTTGAAAATGCAGGTAAAACTCAAGCTGAGACCGACCTCAGGCTTTCTTCGGATAACCCTAATGAACGACATCTACTGTGTCTGATTTAACCAATGCATCTTTTTGATTTTAATGATTTAAAGCAAAGGATTGAAACAGCATTAATGACTGTGCCGGTCAGACTGAAACACAGCAGAGTTGGAGATACTGGTTGGTCTCAGTGATAACAGGAAGCTGAACATTTATGACTGTTATACCAGTGGGTACCTGATGATTGGTAGCACGTTCATTGCTTGGGTTTTCTTCTTACTAGTCAGCTGGCTCTTCAGGACTCTTTGTACTAAGTTGTGTTTGACTTCCTTGGTTGCTATTTGCCTTTGGGTTTCCAAGATACTTGTAGTTGTCCTGGACATCTACTGTGTCTTCAGGTAGTCCAACCCCTTCAGTTGTGATCCTCTTGCCTCTTGCCTCTTGGGTACCATTCAACCGCTGTTGTCCAGTCCAGATGATGCTTCAATGTTATTGTGTGTCCTGAAGAGATGGATCAGTAGTTGTTCCCATCTTTTTTTATGTGCTTTTTGAAGTATTGCATTAGAAAATGTTGATTAAAGTGTCGAAATTCGGAAAAAAAACCCTCAGTTTTGAGAATAAGTTTTTACGCTCATTTGAGATGGTTTTTGGGTTTTCCGAAATAGAATTAATGCCCAAAAAGGGAAGATGGAAACATATTTGACAAAWAAGTTCTGACATGGCAAACATTTAGCTCACATGATCAGCTGTTCCTGCTGTCGGCGTCTTCCCAGATATCCCCATAATGTGAAGAGAACTGCATTTCTTTCTGCAACATCACCGTAGTTGATGACAGAACAATTGGAACTTGCTCATTAGAAATACATTCCTAAAAACTTGTCTCCATCGTCCCGAGATGTTCGGACCTTGCAAGTTTGCAATCTCTACTTCCTGTTTACTAGTTTGCGATCTCTATTTCCTGTTCACTACAGCCATGAGTAACATCAACGTCTGATATAATTATGCTTTGCATAGCCCGGTTGATTCGTTCCAAAATCAGTTGATGGAAACGCCTGATTTGCATTTCTTTTTTGTTTGTTTTTGCAACATTTTAAAAGTTCACTCAAATTGACATGGATTGGAAATGGAATACTGTATATTATATAAAACTCTAGCTGTGTTTCCATGCAATATATATTGGATGGAAACACGACTAGAGTTCATGTCTCGCTCATTTATAACCGGATTTTCTAAACTTATTCTATCACTATCTTCATCTTCTGACTCTTACCTGTAGTCAAATCGCAGAGTCAACAGGTTTAGGAGAGACACCCAGACATCCCTCCCCAGCGACACTTTCCAGCTTATTCTGGGGGAACCCAGGCTCAATGTCATTTTATTTTTCTCAGGTGCTGAGGTGTCCTGTTGTACCTTTTAGTTTTCTAACTAATTGAATCAAATACAGCAGAGCTTTATGACTTCGTCCCTCTTTCTGAACTGGAAGCCTAATAAAACACGCCGCTCATTAAATCTCCTTCCTGTCTGGACCATCTTAGCGACGAGCATTTGCTGACTTTGAAAGCACAAATCGTGCGAGGACACACACTCCTGTGCAGACTCGCAGTCCTGCACGTGTCCTCCAGTCTTACAGGTCAGGGTGAGAGTGACYGTGTCAAGTCAGACGTATGCTTATTCATTATAGAGAGTGCTGGCTTGACCATGCATATTTTATGCTTTTAAATCCTGCAAGATTCATGAAGTTGTCCAAATGAGTAGCATTGAAAACTGAAGTAAAGTTATGTGTTTGAATAATTAAACTCTGTATTTGATCAGAACTGAATTTAAGGTCATTAGTTTTATTTTTAGTTGATAATTCTTTATTCTAATTGTTTAACTTTGTTTAGATTTTACAGAGTGGCAGAAAAGTTCATCTAGAGCTCAACATTTCCT